TCCTCTCTCTCTCTCTCTCTCTCTCTCTCTCTCTCTCTCTCTCTCTCTCCGTGTCGTATGCGAGCAGCAGTCTTGGGAACGAAGTCGGTCGGTTGGTTCGCCGCCGCCACAGCTGCCATCGGTCAACGTGCAATACGCTTTGACAAGTACAACAACAAGTGGCTTCACGGTGGTCGGCGAGACGGTGGAAAAAAGAGACGTTAAGCTGCGGAGCGGGAGAGGGGAGAGAAGGTGGCGCAATCTGAAAGGTATCGTCGATCACCAGGGACACGGAGGATCCCCTCCTCCGTTTGTTTGCGGATGGGGAAAAACCGGGAAACGATTAAGCGTATACGGACGCGCTCGAGGCTGCCGGTGTTACCAAATTCATCGGTGCTTTCTTACCGACATTCTTGTTAGACGGGATATTTCTAGCCTCGCTTCGTTCACTTTCGATTGCAGTTCGAGCAAGTGTATCGTGAGATTAGAAGAAATTAACCGATGGATCGACTAATTCGTATTCGTATCGAGGCGTAACTTTTGCGTACTCACTGTTCGACTTGACGTCCCCATTGAAACTTTCAACTTGGCCAACTTGTAAAGCGTGAAAAGCAATCGGACACTTTTTCCAATCCTCGATCAATCCTCGAACATGAGAAGGAAAAACCAAAAGATCGATTCAGAGTGGTTTTGGATGAAAAGAAGATGGATAAAACGGATCTCGAATCGCACCGCGCGAATATGAAAAGAAAACAGAGGCTGGAAGGAGGCTCGGCGGCGTGGTTCGCAAGGCTGCGACAAGGTAAAGTCAACTAACTATCCGGAGGAGAAGCAGAACGGAGTAGTAGTAGCAGGAGCAGCAGGAGCAGCAGCTAGGCAGCAGAGGAGCGGCGACGACGACGACGACGAGGAGGCAGGAAGAGGTAGGTCGTAGCCGCGGCGAGGAGGCGAGTAGGGATGGGAAGGCGCATTGGCGTGTTGGCAAACGGCGAGGAGGCAACGGGTCCAAAGTCGTCGGGACTCGAGCTGGCTGTGGTGGCGCGTTCACCTCCCGCTCGTACGCAGTACGCTCCGGACTCTCGCGCAGGCGAGATTGCGCCAATCCGCTCGGTCGATCCGCGGACCACGTGCGCCCACGTACGTTTGCACCGGCTGTGTTTTTTGGGGGTGGACCACGTGCTCTCTATTTCTTCCCCTCTCTTTCTCCCTGTATCGCGACCGATACCCGCTCCAGGCGATCCCTTTCGAGATCGTCTCCACGTTTTTCCCGCTGGAATTGGAAAGGAACGAAGAGTGTCGTCAAGATTCGATTCCATGCTTCGGTCGTTGCAGAAGGATTATAAAGGTGTCAAGATTACCGTGCCCTCCGGTGGTGGACGGACAGTGATTATAATTAACGATCCGCGGTTGTGTTAATTCGACGAAGGATGGAGCGTGGCGCGGTTAACTACGGTTGGATGATGACGATGATGATGATCGCGAGGAGGAAATTCGATCGAGGAACGATATAATTGGTGATCGGGCGCGCGATGCGGCGAGGATTAATCTAGGATTAATTTCGAGCTCGCGTACCGTTCTCTCTCTCTCTTGTTGCTCGCGATGATCATGGATCGCGCGGGGAGAGGCGATACCAGTTTCAACTTTCCAATCGCGATGCGAGTGGGAAAAGCGAAGGATACGAGCGGCCGATAAAGGAGGAAACGAGAGACGAAACGTTCTGGCCACAGGTGAATTTTAATAAAACCGGTGTTGCACAACCAACGCGCGGTTTCGATCAAATCGATCCGCCACCGTGAATACGGATTTCACCGAGTTGTGGTTGGGGGAAAAAACACGGGAGGAGTACGGATCCTCGGATCGTTAGACTATGAAGAGCGGAAGTGGCGTTGTTGTGGCCGTCGACGTTCGTCCTGGTGGCCGCGCGTCGCCCCGATCGGGAAACGAGTCGATCGATAAAAACAAGAAGACGGGAAACGGGAGTGGACGGCGAGCAGTGGTCGGCGAGCGACACGAATATTATTACGACGACGCCTCACAAACGTTCTCGAACGGTCGGTTAACTAGCGGGGGACTGTTCCAGATACGCGACGCGGCGGAACGCCGCCGCGTGGTCAATAGTGAAGAGGCAGCAGGGAGGACAGAGCTAGGAGAGGAACGTTTTACTCCTTCTCCTCCTCCTCCTCCTCCTCCTCCTCCTCCTCGTTCGGTCGGTAAATAGGGACGTCGATCAAGCGATCGGTTCTCACGGTTCGAAATAAGTGGATCGAGCGACAAAGAAACGCAATCTCATCACCATCGTTCCACGCGTTCATCGTTCCGGGGAAGGCGAATCCGACCGATGTCGAATGAATTTGGAATGGTCACGCCAGCCTGAATTGTGATACGCGCCCGTCCCTCCACGCACGTCTCCGTCCACGCACGGACTCGATAACGATCCCTTTCTTCTGGAGACGGGATCGATCCATTGATCCCGTGATCCGTGGTACAAATAAGCGGCCGAGAAAGAAGAGGCCGAGGAAGAAGTTGTCGAGCGAAAAGAAAACAGATCGAGAGGGAGGGAGGGAGGGAGGGAGGGAAGGGGTAAAAAGGCGAGCAAAGGCGAGCAGGGAGGGGAGAGAGAGAGAGAGAGAGAGAGAGCGAGAGCAAGGATTGACGGGACACAGAAGAAACTTGGTGGCGGGCAAAAAACGTTGGAAGCGACAGAGATACCAGGTTAATTAGATTATCGAGGGAGCGAGGGGAGGAATGCAGGGATAGGCAACGCGACCGACCATACATGGTCCATCGTTTCTACGAAGAGAAGCGGGGGAGCGTCGTCGCGTGGGAGGTCGTGCACAGCTTCCACGCTGGTTTTTACGCAGCTTGGAAACGGACGGATTCGTGTGTGCTCACCTTGGAACCCACACACGGGGCGCGACTATTAAACAGGTTGGTCGCGCGTCTCGTCCTCTGCGTCCTCTCGTACCGGTCTGTCGATCTACGAGCGGGAATCCGCTTTTCCGAGAACACCCTACGAGATTCGATCGGATCGCCGCCGATCTTCGAGATTTCGAGAGCGAAAGAACAAGTTCGTCCCATCCTCTAGAATCGCTCTCATCGATCGATCGATCGAGCTCTCGATAGAAGATAGAAGATATAAAAAGAAGAAAAAGAAGAAGAAGAAGAAGAAAAAGAAGAAAAGAAAAGTTGGACGGAGGAGAATATTTTTTTTTTTCCACGTTTCGAGGATTCGACTCGATCGTGGAAAGTGGAAAGTGGCCACGCGTCGAGTCGAATCGCGTGCCAACTTTCAATCTCGGATGTCGAACGACCGCTACGCACGCCAAGATCGCGTTTAAAAGCTACCACCACATCCTATAACTCCAGATTTCCGCGATTCCAGTGAACCAGTCCGCCGCGTGTATATATATATATGTCGCTTGATTCTTCTGGCGGATCATTAGAGCAGCGTGAAGAAGCGTTAAGAACGATGAAAGTGTAGCGGAGCGTGTTATGCAAAGCAGCGTGAACCAGAAAAGCCTGATCCCGCTGATCGATTCACCGCGAATTCGAGGCGATAGCTAGGAGAGATGCGTCACTTCGGCGCTGATATCGATTTCATTCCTGTAACGGATCTGCCAACGATCGTGTGACGTTCGAAACCTGAACCTCTCGCGCATGCCTATCGAGATAGCGCGAGATATCGTGGAAAATGACGTTAAACGTTTCCTGTTCTCGCGTCGCGTCGTCGTCGTCGTGGTCGTCGTCGTCGTCATCGTCGTCGTGTCGTTTGGCTCGAATCTAGGCCGAACGGAGAAAGGGACCTGATCGTAGGATATTTTTTTTCTTTTCTTTTCCACGAAAGAAATCTTTTCATCCCTCATCGAGGAGTGGGAGAGGATCCTCCCTCGAAATCGATCATTGGCGGATGACATGGATAGGTCGGAGAACCTTTTCGAAGAAGCTTGGTGGAAGGTGAACGAAAGTGGAACGAAGTGAAAGAACGAAGTCTGGCGGGGGTGGACGAAGGGAGAAGAAAGAAAGAAAATATGTCGGTCGCGGGGACGAGGAGGCTGTGCAGAGTGGGCCTGATCGCGGTGCTGGTCACAGCGTTGTGCGTGTTGACTCTGCTCGATTCGCCGCCACAACTCCCGGATCCACCGGCGGATCCTCCTCCCACGCCTGGTAAGCAATTTTCTCCGTTGCCCGCGCTCCTTCGCCTCCAGCAGCGCGCGACCTTTGCCCTTTCGTTATCGCTCAACGGTTCGCAACTCCTTTGCCACCTAACAATGCCCGCTTTTATTTCCTCCTCCTCCCTCCCTCCCCCTCCCTCTCTCCCTCCCTCTTTCGCTCCTCCCCCTTTCTTCGTATCTTAGATGGTTACGCGGCAAGCGATTAGACACGGCTCATCTTTTCTCGATCTCCTTTTCCTTTTTTTTTCTTCTTCTTTTTGCTACAGGATCATTCGATACACGTGGGTCGGAGCGGATTTTTCTTTCTCCTTTGCATTCTCATTTGCCAAAGAAATGCTCGAATGCATCCCCTCCTTGGTTCGAGAACGAGATACGAGCGAATTTTCTAATTTTCGACGATCTAAAATTTGTTTTCTCAATCATCGAGATCACGTTCAAATCGATAACAGTTTCTCTTTAAACGTCGCGAATCGTTTCCTGTATACCGCGTATTTGCATATCAAAAAACTGCAATCTATCCACGATATTACGAGAGATTCATACTCTCTTTATCGATTGATCTTTAAAAAAGATCTTTCTGAGAGAAGGAAGCAATTTTAATCGATGATCGAAGCGACGGATCCGAGGGTATAGAATTGAATCGACGAATCGGATCGTTTTTTTATAATCTCTACTAGAGATTTGAATATCTCGAATAAGTTGCGTTTAAATGAATGCATTCAACGTGTTATCTCGTTCGTAAATAGAATAAAACAAATATATATATATTCTTTTTCTTTTCGACTCTTAATAAATTCGTCTCTCTATTAAAAAATATTACGTAACTTTATGGGACTTGTCGGTTCGCATCACATTCTTATACATCCCACTTGTAACGTAATTATTCACCGTCTTTATGAAATCGTAAACGTTTTATTACCAGCCATAATTTCAGAGAGGGAAGGTATTCCCGAGTGACACGAGTGACGGAAAAGAAGAAAAGTTCGAGCGAGGATAAAAGTGACGAGAGGAAGACGGCGACGAGAAAATCTTTTCAGACGGCCGATCGATAAGAAAAGGAAGTCCAACAGTTCTCACGTGCCACGCGATCATTCTTGTTCCAAACGAAGAAAGATTTGTACTTCACTGTTTCCTATCTACATTTCCTATCTACGAATAGTTTCCCGGTGTTGGACGCGGCCGACAAAGAATAGGAAAATTCCAAGCGTGCCGGCCATCGATTCATACCTTCAACTATTACGCTTAATCGCGTCAATTCTAACGAGGCTTGTGCGTTTCTCTTTGAATTACACGCTGGATTCCCTTTTGAATAAGTTGTTCGACGAGGGATTCAACGTGGCTCGTACATAATACGTTACGGTTTGTAACCAATGAGAGAAACGTCTTGCGAGAAGTTGAACGTGTAGATTCAGCGTTTATGGTTCACGACTGGAATCCCCCTCCGACGCGATTCTTCTAAACTTTCTTTCATTCCATTCTAGAGAATAGAGACGATAAATTTCTCTTTTGAACTTTCGATCGATTTTACAATATCGCGAGAGAATTTCTTTTCTCTTCTCATTCTTTTTTTCTTTCTTTTTTTCTTTGCATTCCGCGAAAGCGTTTCGAAACGGTCGTTTCGTTTCGTCCCGCCGACCGATTAAAATCAATGAACGAAGAACAACTATTTCCATTCCCGAATGGAGGACCGACAGCGGAGAAAATAATTCGAGCGGAGAAAACCGTCGAAATCGAGTCGGCCTGGAATCGCGTGCAAAAACCTCACCCCACCTTGGGCCATAAATCAACCGCGGTGCGGTGACACGGGCTTATCGTGAACACAAATCTTTACACGGTTCCTTGGCGGTAGCGACTTCATTAGGTGACGTAATTTACAGCTCGATTCATCTCGGACTTTCACGTAACGCCGCGTACACATTGACCGTTTTCCTTCCTTATTCCCCGACTCCTCTTAAACTCTTTTAAATCTTGGAAATAATTAATGAAAATTTATATAATAGAAAAAAGAAAAATATGAATCGTAAGATCGGATATGTTTCGTTCGAACGATTTGATCGAAAATATTCAGCATATATCTTATAAACGAACTCTCGAGCAATAACAATGAACGACCATCTAATCGAAAATTCCATTATTCGTAAAAGTATTCGATATAAAAAACTTTCCATCGCGACGTATCGAAGAACACGAGCTTTTTTTCTTCCTTCATTCTCGTTCACTTCGGATCCACGCAGAAAATCTCTCTCTCTCTCTCTCTCTCTCTCTCTGTCTCTAAATAGCCGGTGAACCGTGGAGTCTCGGAGGGAAAGGAGGAAGCGAGGATGGTAAAAGATTGGCATCGGCACAACGCGCGGTCGTTGGGTCAAGCGTATAGACACAATTTTTAAGGAGGATGGTACACGGATGCAAGATGCATGGAGGCTGTTCCGCTCGATCGGAACAAATTGTTTTACACGAGGACGAGGAAGGGAGAGGAGAGAAGACGATCGCGGAAAGAGGAAGAGGATTTAATCGACGCCGCTTCGATTCGAGGATTAACGGAAAATTGATATTTTATGCGCGCGAGTACACGGTCGGAAAGTGGAGGCTTGCGCGTGATTAAGCGAGCGATAAGGTGTTCGAAGAAAGGAATGAAATATCGGCTATAAACGCGTCGTTCGTGTTGCCTTTCGGGCTTTGCGGTTATACGGTGATTAATGTTTGTTGTAATGAGTGGATGGATTTGTTAGCGATTGTCAACGTAATTATTTCGATGATGGAGTGGAATCCCGTGGAGCCTCGTAAATTAACGAACAGTTTCGGGGGATGGAAGAAAATTTTCATCGATTAATTCGGCGTAATAATAAAAAGTCGAAATCTAGGCAAGCTATACGTTGACACGAGTGAAACGTTTCACAACGAAAACTACTCTCTCTCTCTCTCTCTCTCTCTCTCTCTCTCTCTCTCTCTCTCTCTGTCTCTAAATAGCCGGTGAACCGTGGAGTCTCGGAGGGAAAGGAGGAAGCGAGGATGGTAAAAGATTGGCATCGGCACAACGCGCGGTCGTTGGGTCAAGCGTATAGACACAATTTTTAAGGAGGATGGTACACGGATGCAAGATGCATGGAGGCTGTTCCGCTCGATCGGAACAAATTGTTTTACACGAGGACGAGGAAGGGAGAGGAGAGAAGACGATCGCGGAAAGAGGAAGAGGATTTAATCGACGCCGCTTCGATTCGAGGATTAACGGAAAATTGATATTTTATGCGCGCGAGTACACGGTCGGAAAGTGGAGGCTTGCGCGTGATTAAGCGAGCGATAAGGTGTTCGAAGAAAGGAATGAAATATCGGCTATAAACGCGTCGTTCGTGTTGCCTTTCGGGCTTTGCGGTTATACGGTGATTAATGTTTGTTGTAATGAGTGGATGGATTTGTTAGCGATTGTCAACGTAATTATTTCGATGATGGAGTGGAATCCCGTGGAGCCTCGTAAATTAACGAACAGTTTCGGGGGATGGAAGAAAATTTTCATCGATTAATTCGGCGTAATAATAAAAAGTCGAAATCTAGGCAAGCTATACGTTGACACGAGTGAAACGTTTCACCGTTGAATCTCGTGAAAGGAAAATTAAAATTATACGTATTACGGGTCGTGACTCCTGATCATTTTGCGATTATTTTTTTTACGCGGGAAACGAGTTCCGCTGACAGAGAGAAGGTGATTAACAAACGAGGCAATTGAAATCCTGTAAACGTAACTAATCGAATGCGCGGTCGGGTCGGTGACGCGGTTCGACGTCTCTCGGGACTCGAGTGAGGAGGGATTAAGGAGATTGCTTAGAAATTACACGGGCGAAGAACGATTCGAACGTGGCACGATCGTCCACTGACACGTAAACGTATTCACGATACGTACGACGTCCGGCTTCGTTCGTGACGAATGTAACGTTTCCGTCCGGTTTGAGATCCGTCCGTACAGAATGTACAGATTGTGCTAGCGAAATTCATAGCGAACGACACACCGCTTACTAACAATTATCGCTCTCAATGACATCCATCCTTCCCCGTTAATCCTCCACTCTCCTGTAAACCCTACTATAAAATCATCTGTACAACTCGTATGCAAAAATCGGGAAAATAACACGTATTAATGAAGGTTACACCGGATACAGTTGCATTACGTAATTACCAACAATTAAAATATTAATCGTATCGTCCATCCATCTTTACAGTCGAAAAAATTCGAAAGCTTCCTTAACGATCGCGTTATTAAAACACAAATTTTCCTGCACATTTGAATACACGTACACACGCGCACATACACACATACGAACCGTGCGTAACGTTCGAAGAATTAAACTGGAACATTTTATCCGTAAACATTATCTAAACGGATGAATCTAATTAATCAGGAAACCGGTGGATACGAGATTTCCTTGGAACAACATCGAGATGATGGGTGCCATGGCTGCGGTCCGCCTTTCACGCGACGTAGCTTTAATAAGCGGTATTAGCCTCCTCCCCGGGCCCTCGTTCCTTGGAATTAATTAGCCGAAAAGCGTGCACCGCCGCTTCCTCGTTAATGAGCGGAGCGTAGCATGCGTCACGCGACTATCGCACGGTCTCAATCTCTCTGACACATTTTCCAGGTGGCGTACCCCCGGGCACAAGAAGCATCGTGGCTTACTCGTGGGCGCGGAGATTGGCACTCGATTACAGACCCTCCAAGGAGTGCGACGGTAATGGAACGTACGGAACGACGTTAAATACGTTCAAGTTAGCCGACGAGAAGTGGCTCGAGACAATCCCTGGACAGCTCTTCCTGTACAGCGCCCACTTGGACCTGAGAGTGGCCGGTTATCCAAGCCTCAGGGTGATTGGCGTTAAACGTGGACCTCTGCCGACCTCTGCCCTTTTCTGCACCGTTTGGTGAGACATTTTCGCCCCTTCGATTCTCCTCCTCGATCTTTGCTTTCGTATATATGCTATAACATCTTTGTACTCTTTTTCTTCTTCTTCTTCTTTTTCTTCTTTTTTTTGGAACTTTTTTTTTCTTTTTTAATTTACCTTGGAATCGCCGAAAGAAGATTTTTCTTCAGAATCGAAAAATATCGGAAAAATACGAATGGTTTCGGAATTAAAAATTTACGCGAAACAAAGTTGTGAGAAGTTGTTTCGGTTTTTCTTTTATTCGGTTAACGATCGAAGGTTCCTTTCTTCGAGAGCTCGAGTCGCTTTAATCTTAACTTTCTTATCCAAAACTTCTTCCCCAAATTTTCTTTATACCCCGTTATTAAAGCAGTCGATTTTCATAATTCGAACGATTATGCAAATCGAGTCGCGAAACCGGGTTATGCTTTGATCGAAAAAAAAAAAGAAGAAGAAGAAACACTCACTCGGCCTATTTCGATCTCGTTTAACCGGGTTCGAGAAATTTATCGGATTATCGAATAATTTCCTTGCCGCTTATGTTGCAACCAGGTACGAAGAGGAGGATCGAGGCAGAGCAGTGAGCGTGGAGGCACTAGTGTCGACCATTTGGCTGGAGGAATGGGGCGAGGCGGTGGACAGCTACGCGGGGATCCTCGTCGGTTGTCAATTACCACCCGACGCGGCGATCGAGCCGTCCAAGGTGTACGTAGGCCTGGAGCCCTGCCACCAGAATGCTAGTCATAGTTTAGCGATAAACAACGAGGACAGGGGCGAAGACGGCGAGGCGCGGCGACGCCGTCAATTCACCCTGTGCATCAAGGGTTTGGACTTCGACGAGGATATTTCGAGGAGGATCGTCGCATTCGTCGAGCTCCACCGCATACTGGGCGCCGAACTCTTCTACTTCTACGTGTTCAACGTCCACGAGAACGTGTTGCGGGTGTTGAGGCTGTACGAGCGGTCGAACGTGATCAGATGGTTCAATCTCACGCTTCCCGGTGATCTGCCGAACGAGAAGATCACGAGGAGGCGGTTCCTCTCCGAGAATATCTGGATCAAGAGACGCATGGAGCTGATACCGTACAATCATTGCTTCTACGAGAATCTTCATCGTTCGGAATTCGTGCTGCCCATCGACATCGACGAGGCGATCGTCCCGTCCAGGAGGAAGAGCTGGCACGAGTTGTTGCTCGACGAGAGGGTGAAGCTTGGAAGGGGATTCAAGGATTTCGCCTCGTACGCGGTGAGAAACGCTTACTTCTTCCCCGAGCTGCAGACGAGGAACAGGAGCAGCGGTGGCGACGATTCCTCGGTGGAGGACAACGATGCCACCGATATTCTCACCGATTCGAGTTATCTGGACACGGTGAGGACGGCCTGTATCTCGCCCGAGGGCGACTCGGTGAAGAGTTTCGTCTCGACCAGGCGCGCGTTGACGGTGCACAATCATTACGCGTTGACCGCGTTGAACCCGTCCACGAGACGGGCGCACCATTTCGATCCGGAGGACGTGTTGAAGCATCATCACAGGGCCTGCGACCAGACGCATTTGGACTGTGACGCTTTGATGGAGGACGTTCGGGTCGATGAGTCCGCGTTGAGGTACGCGCACGAACTTAAGAGGAGGGTGAGAGTGGTTTTCGCCGATCTGAGAACGTTCGCGTAGCGAATTCTGGAGAACTACTTGTGTACATAATAATAAAGGATGGATAGGATTAAATCGATCGCAGTGTGGTTAATTGATACGCTTCACGCTTTTCCTTGTTCCAGACGAAGATTGTTACGTTGTAGAAAGAGGAAGTCGCGTGATTCGGGGTAAGTCGCGTCTCCAACGATTCGAAATCAAAGGATGGAGCAAAGGATCGGATTTATATTATATTTTTTACTTCTCGTGAGATTTTTCCTTCCACAAGTTTTTTCCTTCCCTTCTCTGCAAACTTTTTTTGTGCAAAAGTTATGGAAAGTGCAGCTAAGTTGTTCGAAATAATAAATAATGTCCCGCAATTAAAACGGAAGATTGCGTAAAACGAGAGAGGCATTGGAACGAGAGCTATTTTAGCGATGCGCCTCCGCTTTCATCCCTCTGGGAAATAAGATAAGAGAGACAATGCGGTATTTGCAACTTGTAAATCGCGGTCGTTCCTAAAAAGATCAAACGCTCTTCGAAGCCTACTTGCGAACGCGAGGGTAAACAACCGCTTTTACGCCGCTCTCAAGAATAAATATCAACTTTAATTAGAATAAAAACTAGCCTCCACCCCACTTGGCTTTCCGAGGCAACAACAACGACGCGGTGATACGATAATGAAATGCGCTCGTGGGAAATTTCCTCCGTGTATGGCCGTGTATACGCGGATACGCCGTCGCCTTGTTTAACCGCAATGTGCTCCAATTATAATTTCTTTGCTAAACCGAAAGAAGAGCGAATCTATCCTTATTCTCATCGAGGACACGACGACGAAATTTTTATCACGAAACTTCATCACGAATCCGGATTTCCAATCGATCTTCTTCTTCTTTAACACTTTTTATTTCGCATTACAACGTTACAAGAAATTCTCGACGTTATATCTCGACTCGAGATTTCCACCTGGAGAATCTTATCCCTATTATTTCTTCATCGAACCTAAGAAATCATAATCCGCAGAGACAAGCGAGTCGCAACTCATAGAATAATAATAATAATAATAATAATTAATACCGGCATTTCGATGCTTTGCCAACGAGCGATCTAATCACATTTTCTCACTGATTCGTTTCGGTGAGTGGCAGGAAGAGTGGCCGTAACGATATCGCAGACAGGAATATACGTCCTCTGTAATAAAAATCATCCTCTTTATCACGCCCCTTCTTTCTTTTCTTTTTTTTTTTTTATTTATATCCCTCGCATTCCCAACGAAATCTCTTGAAACGGCGACACGAGAAATCGAAGTGGAGAGGAACGGAGAGGAGAGGGGGAGAGCTCTCGCCTCTCGCTATTCTCGAGAAAGCAGCGTTTAGAGAGCGGTAAACAAGGGTCGAATTCGAAATCCGCGCTAGCCACGGATCCAGATAAATTTTACGAGGCGCATAAAGCGACGTTGGAAGCACCGGCAAGGTCATAACGAAGTTTAATAGTTCACGAGCGAAGCGTGTCCTGCCTCGGTTGTTAGACCGAGGCGTAGATAAGAGGAGGGAATGTTATTCGGCGAGGAGATAACTGACTTTCGACTGCGAGCTTCCCTCGATCTCTCTCTCTCTCTCTCTCTCTCTCTTTTCATCGTTGGATATTACACGAGAATTTCTAGAGTGGACTAGAGCGGAGATCCTTTGGCTGGGAGATATTCACCGACTGGACTCGAGAAATGTAATACGGAATGTAAATCTTGCGTGGCACGAAATTGGGGGATGGATGTTGTTGCAACGCTTCCCAAGCCAAGAAAAGAATATAATTTGATTTGGACGGATATTTGATTTATTGATATTTCATAGGTTTTTTTCTCTAGGTGAAATTGATCGAAGGCAAAAATATAAGAAATGGGGTTATCGTGAAATCGAAGATTCGTTGATAGGCGAATGGGAATGAGACGAGACGTGTTTTTATCGGAAGACGATTCGAAAGGGAAACGCGATTTTCAAGCGATCCAACAATCGTAAGAATTATCTGGTATAAGTGTTAAAATGTAAGAAAATGGAAGAAAATAGTCTTTTATACGTGTCTGCGACAACGCGCGTAATTTATCATGGGAACACGTAGCATGTTATATTCGAAGGGAAGAGTTATCATTTCAAGCGCGCCCCGTGAAAACTGTACGACAAGATCTAGCGTATGCATGTACGACAAACTTGTGCGATGTTTCTGGCATATCGTTACAAAGCAACGACATTACACGCGCTACGTGTTTAGTTCGCATTATCGAGATAAGCTAAGTTATTTACTCTCGTTCCTGGTGCGATGCCGGATACCAGCTAATGACGAAGATAGTAGATAAATCCTCGGTGTTTATTCTGCTTCAATTCAGACTCGTTCAATGCGCATATAATCCACGAACGATCGATCAACTGTGAGGAATCGCGTCCGTTGATCGAAACACGAAAAGTGGATCGAAAGAAATTTTACCTTTACCAATCCTTGGGCTCGTCTTAATTATTTTCAATACTCTTTGCAAACGTTTCCCTCTGCGATTCGTTGATAAAAAAAAAAGGATTTCCTCGATTTCGCGTTTTGTTCAAAGCGTCTGGAGACGTTAGGATAAGGAGTTAACGAAGAGAATGGCACGCATCGAGATCGGCCCGGTTCCGAATAATCGTAAGTCGCAGCAAGTGGAACGGATCGGTCGGATAACGTATCGAGGTGGTCTTAACCACGACCGTAAGATAAGCAGGTAAAAAGAGGACGGGTAACACGCGCGAGCCAGAGTAATGCGCGCACGCTCTCTTAAATCTCGTTCTTAATTTTTGCCTTCGAAATAAGCGTGAACTTCGAGCGAATTCGCTTCAGTGTTGGCTCGAGTTTTGATTAACCCTATGACGACAAGATGCTAGGAAAGTACGTTTCCTGTTAAGAACGATGATCCAAGTTTTTATGATATTTTTGCAGTCGCATTTTCATACTCTTTGACACAAAATTGTTTAAATATGTTCCAATGCAAGTGAATCGTTTTTCACGAGTTTGTGGTAATAAAGGAGAATTAATCATCGAGTGACGAGAAACAAGGATCCTACGGTTGACAAGAGGGATATTATATTGGAAAAGTTATCCGAAAAGGAAGGAAAATAAATCTAGAAAGGCGATCAGTGGATTATAGGAGCGAGAAAACGGACTTGAAATATTGCCACCGGGATCAGATAATAAATCTGCCTCTAGATAAATACTCGGAAAATCATAGTGCTTATCCATGATTAATCAAACCGTTTATTTTTAACTTGGTGGACAATTATCATAGGTGTAAGATTTTCCTTCGATCTCGCCAAGAATTCTCACCAAGATTTTCCCTTTATCTCTCTCGAGTCGTCGATCTTCTCTCCCTGCTAAATTGACTAAAAAAAAAAAAAGAAAAAATTCGGGCCATCCTCCCAAAATTGCTTCCAGCTCCACCAGCACACCAAATCCGCGCGATTCGACCAATCGTCGAATCGCATCCGCGCATCAAACGAAACCGTTTAACAGGCCACGAACGAGACCGCCACCCTGCTCCTATGAATCATTTTCAATTTAATAGGAATTCCTTTGAGATACGCGCGTTTCGTCGCCGAACCGAGCCGCCTTAAATTAATACGAGTGTAAATCAATCCTCGATGCGTAAAGCAGGAAACGCTGTGCCTTCTTCTCTTCTCTCTCCCTCTTCCTTCTTTCGTCTCCTTTCCTCCCCGTAACCTCGCGTCGCGTTAGTTACGAGCATTTAGACGGCATAGCGAGCGCCAATTTACGACAAGCAACACCGGCGACAGACGTCCGTTCTTTTCCCCGCGTGTTTCCAACTCGCGTTCTATCCTCGTCCCTCCTCTCTCTCTTCACGCGGCATCATCACACGTGGAATTCGTATGCATCAAGCTTGATAATGTGTTGGCCAGAGATCGTTTATCGCTTCGAACGATCGTAATTTTCACGACGATTTTTAATTTGAACACGGTGGGAAGACGAGATCTTTTCTCTGGAAAGACGATAGTTGGAGCAGGGGAAGGGAAGGTGGAAAATTTATAAAGGTATCTTGATTTTTTCCTCCTTCTTTTTGTTCGTAAAATATAAAAATATTTTGAAGAATTTTCGTAATTCTCGGGGAAAGAAAGTTAATTTCTACTCTTTCCTCTCCTTCCTTTCTTTCTTTCTTTTTTTTTTTCTTATTAAGCTTGATTAAATTCGAAAGAAGAAGAGAGGATAGAGAGAAGGCGAAAAGTCAAATGGAATTGTATTACACGTTATAGCGCGGCGTTACAGGAAGCAGCTTGATGATGACGACCTCGAAAGGTTACAATGCAACTTTTATTATACGTAATTACGTTTTAACGGATTTGAGGAGAATATAGGACGTGACGGAATATAAAATACGTACTTCGTTAAAGGAAAAGACGTATTAAAGGAGAACGAGTCACGCAATTTACTAAACCACCGTACTTAATCACAACCTCCTGCGTTAAATAGAAACGGTAATTACACGTTGCGATAGTCCAGATAATTTTATATCGTCCGAGCCATTATTCTCCAATTTGTCTCCTCGCGAAATATATCGTGTCTCTTTCCGTGTTATTTAAATAATGCGTATTATGCAACATGGTCCGCTTCAGAATCAAAAAATTAGAAAATCATTATCGTTTGTTGAATTTCCTCTTTTTTCGTCGAAATTGAAAATTTAACAATTTTTTTTTTTTTAATTCCTTTTTCCACACTTACCATTCTCAACATTCTTCTACAAAACTTTCCCAGATCGCGCATTCCATGATTATAGATCCAACCACGAACTCGTCATTATCAAACTCGTATCATCCAAACGTTAAAAATATAAAATAAGATCACGGTGGCCAATCTTGGGAGGAGCGAGAATTTTTACGACTTTTCCGCTGTTCCCTAAAAATCCAGGTCGCTCGATGTCGAGGGCGTGTGTCTTCTCGACGCCTTCACCCTCTTTCGCCTCATTTACCGAGGGACGACCTTCCCCTCTCATAACTCATTGTCCTCGTGCCGCGTCCCACTCTTCAATCGACGGTAGCCGCCCTCGAACAAGCCACGAGTCCTGAGGGCAGGTCG